GTTGGACATTTGGGGGTGGCAATACTTGTATAAAAAGCCACCGGTTCAAAATCGGTGGCAATAACACACATTGTCACCGGTTAACCGATGGCAATAATAGGCACCCACTCTTTTTAAAAAAAAAATTCATTACATTTGGCACCGGTTAAAAATGTTAAATAATAACACACATTGTCACCGGTTAACCGGTGCCAAAAATGTTAAATAAATGGAAATAATAACACACATTGTCACCGGTTAACCAGTGCCAAAAGTGTCCAATTTTTTTTTTTCTATTTTCACTTAAAAATGTTAGACAACAATATTAATAAATTGCAACAATATATTCATTAACGATATATTCATCAAATAAATGCCAATAATATGCTTTTTCACTTAAAAATGTGAGACAACGGTATATTCATCAAATGAATTATTACAGTATTTCACAATTTCAAAAAAAAAAAAAAAAACTGCAAAATCGAATTTCCAAAATCAAAATGTTGAATCCTTTTGCTTGAATATTTTTGTGATGTGAACCTACATCAAATTTGGACACCAAAATTAATAAAAACCCATCATAAATTATTTTTTTTTTAAAAAAAAAATCAATTAAACGGTTAAACCCAACAATTCGAAAATCAATTACACCCAGAAGATTCCAAAAAAAAAAAAAAAACCCAGAAATCAGTCTGAAATTAATTAAAAAAAAAACAATCCGAAATACACTAGAAAATCAAGTAAAATAGAACAATCAATTAAACCAAAAAACCCAAAATATCGAATAAAAAAACAAAAAGTTTAAGAAAATTTCAAAATCAATCAAACCAAGAAAATCAGCTAAAAAACCCAAAAAAATCAAGGCATTTAACATGAATAATTAAACTTGGAAACCCTAACCTCATATAATTAAAACCAGAAACCCGAAAAAATTAAAAAAGAAAAAAAAGACACATACATTCATTATTCGACCATAAAAAACCATGAAAGTGCGAAAATGGCCGGTCTACGTGGAGATGGTTAGTGGCGGTGGCGGTGGTGGGCATTGAGGGGAAAGAGAAGTAGATCAAGGGAGAGAAGGGACGAGCTCGAAGTGCGGTGGAGGGCTTCGTTGTGTGGAGGCCATTGAGGAGGGCTTAGGAAGGAGATGAGAAGGAGTAGAACGAAGAGATCAAGATTGAAAAAGGGGCAGGAGAGGCGAGCTGAGAGGAGAGAGAAAGAGGAAGCGAGCTGAGAGGAGAGAGAAAGAGGCAAGAGAGTGAGGGGAGGGAGGAGAAGCTTGCTTAGGGTTTATAAGCAAAGAGAGTGTATTTTTTTTAACATTGCAACCAGTTCAAAACCGGTGGGATTAATATTTTCCCCACCGGTTCGGTTTGAACCGGTGGCTTTATCATTTCACTTAAATCCCACCCATTTTTTCTCCACCGGTTCTTAAAAACCGGTGGGCATAGCTCGGTGCCTTTTTGTAATTTTCTACTAGTGGAGGAAGACATAAGGATGATACGGTTGTACTTCATGTACATTATGGGGCTAGTGGTCCTCCTAATAGCTTTATTAATTTTCTTGCTAATTTACAAGTAAAGCCTAAAAATTACTTCGGTGGAGCAGGGTAAAAATGAAGGTGATGTTCGCTGTACTTTAGTATTTTGTAATTTAGTAGCTTTGAAGTACAAATTGGAACATGTATTTTTAAAATTATGAATAAAAATCATTATTATTACTCGTTTTCTTTGTTTTAAATAATAAAAAAAACGTCATTAAGTTATAAAAATACTTGGAAAAATAATAGTAATTATTTGCAAAAACAATAACTATAATAATAAAAGATAATAATAGTTATAATTACAAAAGTGGGATCAAAATTTGGTGTCTACAAACACGTTTCAGGGTAAGTCAAAAGTTCTAGCTATTGTAGCAGTTGCTAGCATCTGGAAAAGGCTGGATCAAGGGTTTATTAAAATCAATACCGACAGTGCTTGGAAAGGTGAAGGAGTGGCGAGAAGCAGGTAGTATTATTCGTGATGATAATGGTGCTTGGATGATTGGAAAAGCATGGAAGACAAAGTCTAGGAATCCAGCGGAGGCCGAGCTTCTTGCGATTAGGGGAGGGATGCAAATGGCTATTGATGCCAATTTCAATCAGGTGATCATTGAAACAAATGCAAGTTCTCTTAAAAGAACTATTCAAGATGCTAGGAAGTACGAAATGAGTGAATTGGTTACAATACTCAAAGACATGGAGGCTTTTCTCACCAAGGGTTGCTATTTCGAGTTTAACTATGTGCCTAGAGGTGCGAATGGGGTTGCTCATATACTCACCAAAATTGTTGTGGACAAGGAAGCTATTGATGGTATGGGGAAGTTGTTTGACAACCCTCCTTGCATCCATCAGGGATGTTTATGAAGGAGACCTGCTATAAAGTGAAAGATCTGGTTTTTACCCCTAGTTCATGTTGTTCCTCTACGTGTTTATTTAGCTTTTGTGCTTGTGTATTTGCTTTTGTATGAATTAAGTCACACAAACTCTTTGCTCTTGTTTTTGTGGAAAGCAATAGGATTCCCTATTTCTTTAGTTGGCATAATGAACTCTGATTCTATGCTGTATTGGAACTTTATCTAATTAATTAATTTCCCTTCTTAAAAAAAAACCCCTTATAGGCTTATAATATAAAGTATTGTTACTAAGAGAAAGAGAAATTATAAAAAAAAAAATAGTGTGTGTGAGTGTAGACACCTAAAAATGTCTCCCCAAATCCAAACTCAATGATGAACGACCTTTCACCGCCATTATTGAGTATTTAATATTTGGAGTTATTAAATTCGTATTCAATCCAATACATTTAATAAACCAACCCAATTCTTAGCCTATTTCCCCAAACTATTACTTATTTTCCTCTTTTTGTGTCCACATCACAAAACCAAGATAATATGATTTTGTGGCTATATAATTTTGATAAAATTATTATTTTATTGGATAGGAATTACAATATGCTTTACATCTATATATCATAAGCCCAATTTCGATTTAAAGCGAAAAGGATATGAGCAAAACACTAAACTCGACCCACAACTGACACCTTTTCACTAAAGCAATCATATATTAAAATATACACAATATTTTTATAATCTTTCCAATGATATGTTATATGCATTATTCCGAGTTACAGATCAAAAGTTATCATCGTTTTAAAAAAACGCGTAAAAACTGCATCTACCGCGTCACGGCATAAATGCCGCACCACGGTGTTTTGTGACATGTCACGATACTCTGCACCATGTCACAGTATTTTTCACCGTGACACGGTGTTTCTAGGGTTTTTCTTTGTGGCACTTCACTTCTAGGGTTCCGTGCTTCACCCTAGGCATTTTCTTTATAAATACCCCCTTATTTCTGCAGTTCATGGCACAAAATCATTCTCTCTTCCTCTCTTATACATCAAAACCTTTTTTATTCTCTCTCTCTTGCTCAAACCTAATTTCTAGCCTTCCCTATTCTTCTACCATACATCCTTTAAGCACTCCAAGGAGTCCATACTTGACCCGAGGTTTCATCCTTAAACCAAGGCGTGAAAGGTATAATTAACTGAGGGTTTGGAGCAGATGAACTTTACTTTTAATTTACAGAAATTTCACCATATACCACTGAGTTTAAGCTTAATTCACTGTATACCACCAAAAACTTTCAAATACCACCCAATTATTGTACATTAAGACAAAATGCCTTTTTGGCTAACTGTCGTTTGGGGTAATTTACCGTTTCACCGTGTACCATTTTATGCAAAAGTTTGTTCACCATATACCATGTTTTAAAAGATATTTCATCATTTACCCATTTTTTGAAAACGGTAATTTTTTTCAAAAAATAAGCCGTTGAACACTTCCTTAATGATTGTGCAATAAGTATCATGATTGTATCATTGCAAAAAGTAATATGCATTATAATTCATAGCTTTTGTGCTCAAAAAATTATGCCTACATGATTGTGCAATAGTTGTAGTACATTTCCCTGAAATGTAATAAATAAGTTTGTGCCAATTAAACCAAGTACTTACACCAAGTACTTTACAATTTGTCCAAAAAAAACATGACACTTAGCACATTAGTTATAAAAGTTTTTCCCAAAAAATTATACATTATTTCTGGCAGCTTCAAGGTTTCTAATTTGCAGCCTTTCTCTTCTTCCCCCTTCCTTTGCCTTGCTGTGAACTGGATGCTGCATTTTCTGCTTGTCTTGCTGCTTCCTTTCTTGCTTTACAGGTTAAGGCATTATGTCCCAACTCCTTGCACAGACTGCATTTGTTGTTCTTGTGCCTCTTTCCTTTTCTTCATGAGATGCTCTCCTTCTCTAATTAGCTGGTCGGCCTGCAGCTCTTTTAATAGTTGGTGGTGCTATCTCAAGCACATCAAGTGCTGGTCAGTGACTTGGATCAGCCATGGGATGGATGTGGTCTGCATAAGTGAGCTTGTAAGTAGCCCCCTTAAAGTATGGTGACACAAAATCTCTGGCTTGAAGTCTTTGGCTGTAGATGACCCTTAGACCATGTTTGCATGGTATCCCTGACCCTTGCCACTTCCCACTTCCCACACCCACAGGTCATAGTCTGCAGTGTGACAGTGAACTTCACATGCCCATCCCTCATCTCAAACTCCCCACCACCAGCTGCTGCCACATGACAGAACCTAGACTCCTCACTTCTTGTTTCCAAAACCCCTTTAGCATACTCTGTTAGCTCATTAGGGTCCATATCTATTGCTGTGTCAAACCTGGAACCTATCCTTTTCATACACCAATTCCTTACAGCTAGTTTAAGTTTTAAAAAAATAAATAACAAAAAAAACCAAACATCAGAATATGTTCCTTATCTATTGTATCCATATCAAATAAAGGGTTAGATGTTACCTTCCAGTAAAGTCAAGACAGGAAAATCTCTCTTGTCCTTTGTGCATGAGCTGAATGACTCAACAAAGTTTGTTGTGTTATGATTACAACAAACTATTGTGTCAAACTTGTGCCTACTCCACTACTCTTCAATGTCTGTCAGGTTCTGAAATGCTTTTGCATCATACTTCTTTATCTTTGACATTGCTTTGTCATACACATATGAATTGTATGCATTAGCAGCAATCCAGAAAAGTTTATGGAACTCTGTTCCACTCCATCCAGCTGTCTTGCAGTTAGAGTACACATGATGACAGCATACCCTCCTAGTTGCCCTTGAGAACACCTCAAAGAGGGCTGATTCAACACCCTTGAATGAACAACACAAAATTAGTAAATGGAAATTAACATATGAAACAAAAGCATAGAAAATTGTAAAATAGTAAGTCACTAACCTTCATCTTGTCACTTATAAAAGTCCAGTCATCCCTCTCAGATCCATACTGGGAAAATAGGATCCTTAGGTTTCTAAAGAAGTAAGTCCAGCTCTCTATACTCTCTGTATCAACCAGACCATAAGCTATTACAAAAATCTCATTATTATCATCCAATTGCAACTGTAGTGAGCATGAATCCCTTGTAATAGCCACTGAGATGTGCACCATCAATGCCTATAATGGGTCTGCAACCCCCTAAGAAGCCTTTCACCTGAGCTGCAAAGGAGATGAAACATGCCTTGAACTTCTCACCATTAATCCCACTGTCAGTCCAGGTGATGAGAGCATATGAGCCAGGATTTGTGGCCTTAATCATCTTAGCATATTTTGGAAAGAGAGCATAAGACTGGGCAAAACCACCATGTATTTGCTCCCTGGCTAAACACTACACTTTGAAAAATAGTTTGAGCTTCACTTGGATCCTATACCTTTCCAGGCACATTCTTTGCAATGAATCAACAGGGATCTCTGGATTTGCCTTCAGATCTTGCATCAAATGTCTACAGAGCCATGTTGAAGAAACCATAGGGTTCTCTTCCAACCTCCCACAAGTTGTATGCTCCCCTTCTAGCTTCTTTATTTCCCAGCTGACTTTATCAACAAGGACTGCTGCATGAATCCTCCAATTGCAGTCATTGATCATACACTTTGCAGTATATCTATAGTTGTCAGCATAGCCAACTATCACAACAAATCCTTCTTGTATGCAAAAATCTCTAAATACCTCATGAAATTGTTGCTTGTTTTCAAATATTAACCAAGGTTCAAGTTGAATTGAACCAAATGGTAAGTTAGACCAAACCTTGCCATTTTTGTACATCTTGTATAACACATGAGAACCATCCAAGTAATCTTCAAATGTCTTCTCTGGAATATTATCAGCTAGGTCTTCCTCTTCCACAATATACTGATCATCAAGGTTCAACTCCATATCCAAATCATCTTTTGCTTCAGAAACTTCATAGTCATCATCTTCTGAATCATCAGAAGGACATGCATCAGACTCACCATCACTCTCCTCAACAGTCACAGGTCTTTTTCTCCTGGTACTCCCTTCCCTTCCTCCTCTTTTATTTTTGCCAACCTCAAGACCATACTTGTTTGCTGTGCTTCTTGGAACCCTCCACTCTTTTTGTTTAAGTCTAGTCTGCTCTTTTGGTTTACCAGCAGAACTAGATGCTGCTGAGTTTGGTTGAGGTGGTGGTGGGGGTGGAGTTACTTTTTTCCTTCTTGGAGATTTTTTGGGTGCTGATGGTTCATTTTGTGAAGGTTGAGGTTGAGTTGGTTCATTTTGAGAGGGTTCAGGTTGAGAATCTCTTGGAAATGACTCATCAGCTGCTGCACTGTTGAATACCCTAACATATTCAAGCTTATCTTCATTTGCATTCATAATAGGGACCTCTACAACCATTGTAAATGGTTCTTGGGCCTTAAGGTCCTCCTCAGCTTCAACTGCCTCTCATTTCTCCTATTCTCTTCCTCCCTCTACTTAATTTTGTCAGCCCTCAACTTCAAAGTTCTTGCCCAACTAGCTTCTACAAACTGAAACACTACAGATGGTTTTTCAGTCTCTTCAATGAACACTTCTATTTCATCCTTCCCTTCATTCCACTCCCACATTTTCAACATTGCCCCATCATCAACTAACTCTAACTTACGATTAGTTCTGGGTTTACTCACAAACAAAGTGAAGTATTAAGGGAGGAAAACATTCTGCTTCACTGAATCCTCGAACATATACTCAAACAACTCCATCAAATTAGTCTGATCAGTGTCATCCACCCTAAGATCAAAAGTACCACTTGGGGAACGAACTAATAACCACACTGCACTCATCCTAAAAATGAATAATAAACAACAACAATTAACATCACACTCCAAACAATTCACATGCAACAAATCATACTTAATCTAACCTAAATTAATCAACAATTCAGACATTTTAGCAACACATTCAAACTAACATAATCATTGTAGAATAAACCCTAACCCTAACTAAATTTCGCTAAAAAAAAAACAAAATCAGAGCTCGAAAAACAAATTGATGAGAACAACAATTCCATAAGAAAGCTTATTTGAGCCCAGGTAAGAATGAGGAGCGAAATTCACTCACTAACAACTTCCTCTCTCTCAAAACGCACCAACCAGCGTCTGTGTTCAAACAAAAAACCCGTAATTACTGTTTTACTAGCAACATCTACCTTTGATCGTAGAAAGTGTAAAGCTTTTTGATTGATGGCGCCACTTTGATGTATAAGGGAATAATGGTAAATTACCCCAAACGGCTCACTAAGGGCAGTTAGCCAAAAAGGCATTTTGTGTTAATGTACAGTAATTGAGTGGTATTTGGTGTATTTGAAAGTTTTTGGTGGTATACGGTGAATTAAGCTTAAACTCAGTGGTATATGGTGAAATTTCCGTTTAATTTAATTTAATTTCAATTTGATTTATATTTTTATTGAAGTTACTAAAGATTTATTCATGGTGCTGCAATTTAAAGGAGTGCGCGAAATGTGAATAATTAATTAATTTAATTACTTATTTTATTTTAATATTGCCAGTATCATATTAGGTTTATTATTATTTGATATGACTAACGATATTATGGTTAAATTTCTTCTAATATTAATGTTTATTCTATTTATTATGATCACCATATTGCATATTTAAAGGGAATATGCAATCGAAAATCAAAACTAATATGATAATTTGGACGACTGGTTTAAGTTCCTTTTTAGTCTTGTTAATTGAAGTGATCATAATAATTTAGAATTCGGTTTTTTCACCAAATGCCCTTGAACTTTTCAAAAATTCACCAAATACCCTCAAGTTTTTCAAAATTCACCAAATGCCACTAACGTTTGTTAATATTCACACTGTGACCTCTGGCGTTAAAGTTCCATTAGCAATAAAATTTAATTCACCAAATGCCCTACATTTGTTAAATAATTACACAAAATACCCCTATTTTTGGAAGTACAATTTCTAGTTTGATATTTGAGGAAACTAGCCGTAAGTTTTGATTTTCACCCTTTTTTACATAAATACTCGATACATATCATCTCTCTTATTTGCATAACCACAAATTTTTAACATCATGAGTTATCAATCTAAATAATCCTCCTCAATATATGAGTAATTTTGTGTAAGAGTTGCAAACATTCTCTATTCATAAAAAGAAGTGTCGAAGACCTTGCAAATAGAGAAAAAGAGGGCTAAATGAAATAGAGGTGATTACTTACGGGCTTGGACGGAAAACGGATTGGGCTATAGTTCATATTTTGTCCAGCAGACTGAATATAGCAAACTCAAGCCCCTTTTATGCGGCTTGATAATTAGTATATACCCACCCTAGTATATAGTTTGGGTTTGTCCGTGGACTAGCTAGCGGACTCAGAAGTTCAACTGCAAATTTTCTCCTACTACAACAAGATTTGTTTGCAACTCTTATGCAAAAGTTCTCATACATTGAGGAGGATGATTTAGATTGATTTTTCAAGGAGTTAAAAATTTGTATTTAAACAAATAAGAGGATGCTAAGTATCGAGTATTTATGCAAATAAAGGGTGAAAATCAAAACTAACGGCTTGTTTCCTTAAATTTTAAACTAGACGTTGTACACTTGTACTTCCAAAAATAAGGGTATTTTGTGTAATTAATTAACAAAGTTAGGGCATTTGGTGAATTAAATTTTATTGCTAAATGAACTTTAAAGTCAAGGGTATTTTGAGGTCACGATGTGAATATTAAAAAACGTTAGTGGCATTTGGTGAATTTTGAAAAACTTGAGGGTATTTGGTGAATTTTTGAAAAGTTCAAGGGCATTTGGTGAAAAAACCGTTTAGAATTATATGTTTCATTAATATCTAACCAATTTAGTCTAATAATAATTTAATTTGGAGTAAATTGAATATTTGTTTGCATGCCTTTGAGATCGTAGGAATTACTTTTCATAATAAGAATCGAGTAGAGGCCAATACGGGCGAATGTGACTCCATAACTCACTTAGTACCATAATTCATGATTCTCCTTTCGTGGTTTCAAAGCATATGGAGTTAGAAATCTCATGGATTATGAATGGGGTGTAATATTCACGGGACAATTGTTGTTGTCTTTAGCTGTCCCTTAATCGTGGTTGCCTTTTAATGATCCGTGAAGGGTTTACAAGTTCCGTAAAAACTTGTTGGAGGCTCCCTACTTTATTTGTCCCTATTCGTTGTCCCTAATCGTATATGTCAATCCCCACTTTCTATGAGTGCCAAGAATATTCACACATGCTTAACGTAGGCGTGCTTCGAACGACGCCTACAATGAGGTTTGTAAGAAAGAGAAATAATAAAATATTTGTGAAAAGTGGGGTTAGTGGAAGAGAGAAATTATAAATAATGGTGAATCCTTTCTAAATATAGAAGTGTTGAAAATAATATGAAATGGATGTGTTAATTAAACTGTTGCAATCAATACGAAACGAAGAGAGTAAGATGTTAGTACGGTAGATGAAGTAATAAAAAAATGAAAGAAAAGATAGAACAATTATTATTTTAATGAAAATTAAAGCATTGTGAGATGGGGTGAGGACTATTAGAGGAGTGATAAATGATAGAGAGAGTGAGGATCATTAATAGGTAAAGATATATTATTAAATTGTAAGTGTTTTCAAAAGAGGAAGTGCAGCTTTTAAAAAAATACACAAATTTAGCAAGATTAAATTTTAAAAATACGGAGAACTACATTCTCAATGATAGCTATGTACCTTTGCTCATTATTAATTGTAACAAAGTATTTGGAAAATTCTCCTAAATAGTAAGGCTGTTAAAAATTTACCCGAACCCAAAAAGTTTACCTGAAATCGAACTGGTTTCAAACTGGTTAGATCCTAAATTTTCTATCCGAATTCGATCTGAAGTAAAATTGAAATTAACTTCAAACCGACTTTATTTGGTAATGTAACTTGGAATCGATTAATAGTTAAACCGAAACTGATAAGGCCTAATCTAATATATATATATATATAATATAATATATATATATATATATATATATATATATATATATATATATAAAGTACACATTTTTCGAAAGCATTCGGCGTGCCACATAATGTAACACCCCCACATCTCCTTCTACGGAAATACCAGTATAATACGTATAATTATACCGTAGAGATAGACTCGGGCTTATTACCACCGCGTGATTAACGCAAGGCTACTCAAAACTTACTAAACAAAACCAATACTTTACAGCGGAAAACTTCAATACTCTTCTTTTAATTATAAACCATAAATAGTTACTATAGTCATGAGTACTCAAAATAAACATAAAGATCAACACTCCTAAACTAGGTGAAGCAAATCCCTGGACTACCATATGCTCATTCATGACTCCACCTAAAAATACTCAACACTGCTTACCATTACGGTAAACAGGGCGAACCAAAACAAATAAGAAATACGGATTAGCAAAATATGCTAAGTACGATAAGTGCAAGATAATGTAAACTCAATTTATTTGCAAACATGCTGTAAAAATCAATTACAATAATTAATCCAATAAATTCCAAACTCATTATTCCAAACCTGATTCCAATGATTCAATATTCAAAAATAATAGTTAATAAAACCAATTCCTTTATTAAGAACCAATTTCTTTTAATCCAATTCCTCATCCAAGTGTGCACACCCCTAAATCTAGTCTCTTTATATTACAAGGTTATTCTTTAGGAAAGACCTGGTCATATAAAGTCTAAGGCCTTATCAATATACAAAATCCGCATAGTGGGATTACCAACATGCTATAAAAGCATTAATAATAATAATTCAATGGTTCAATAAATCCTTTTAATATCCAATAAATTCCAATATCATTCAAACTCCTTTTCAATAATTCCACATACTTTCAAAATCAAAACCTTTTAAATATAAAATCTCATATTAATAACTTTTCAAAATCAATAACTCTTCCTTGAAAAAGCTTTTATTTAATTCAACGAACCTTTTAAAATTAATTCCTATATTTAAACATGATAAATAATTCAAACCATTCAAAACATGATTTAAAAATCAATCATTCAAAATACTTTTATAAAAACAAATTAAGTTTTAAAATCAATACCTCCAAACATAATTCAAATCAATTTAATTCAATCTCCAATAAAATCATATAAAACATGTTATTTAAACCAATCACTTTCAAAGGTACCTAGCCACCTAAACGTACCTTGATCCTTGCTAGAAAAACCACACAAAAAGAACCTCAAGAACCTTGATTCCGAATATCAATCAACACTTCGCACTTTCAAATTTCAATCACGAATACACCTTGCAAATAACATAACCATAAGGTTATCACAACATAAACTCAAATCTAATGTGCATGGACTATAAAACACTTTAAAATGATACTTTAATATAA